TTCCACTGAATTTCAGGTATGTTTAAAGACCCTAGATATTGTTCCTCCTTAACCGATTTTACTACGGCTCAATAGGCTTTCTCATACCAGAGTTATGAGTTTTTCTTACTGAGAAACACTCCTTCAGAGAACGCCCCGCCCACAACGGGCGGGTCTCCTAGATTCGACTTTTCAACCCAGTGCACACCTTTACCCCATTTCTCGGTCTTTTGGCTGCACCTATACCCAAACTCAAGACTTCTGCCGTCGGCAGCTCCTGATTCGACGCATGCCCCGCCCACTGTGGACGGAGTTTCCCATGGTCCATGCTTGCCCCGTGTAGCCTGACTCATTCTCCTACCCATACCCAATTTTTGATCCGACCCGAAGGTTCCTCAGAAATAGTTACATAATTTTTTGACATCAGACACACAGAAGTTACGCCCGTCCACCATACTATTAACAGGGGAGGTGTGAAATATACCAAAGTGCTCGAAGTTTGCCACAAAACCTCATAATTCGCTTCCTAGAGGTCTTTCCGAGCCTACTTGATAAAAGCCGATATTTATGATCGATATTGATTGATACCGCGTGACTCAATAGAATTTTGATTGTTGCGACCCCATCAATCTATAGTGTGATTAGTAAGCAAATCTGAGCCTCCCAGACAAAAATCGATATTTTCAGTCGATATCGATCGATAGCATGTGACCCGATTGGGATTTCCACTATTACTACAGCCCCCAATCAATAGTGTGATTCCCAACCTCATTCGAGCCCTCTGCGCAAAAACCGATATTTTCAATCGATATCGATCGATAGCATGTGACCCATCTAAAATCCAACTCCTACGACACTACCCAATCAATATTGTGATTCGCTTAGCAATTCGAGGCCTCTGCACAAAAACCTATATTTTCTACGGAGATTCCAGCGTAAGCCCCGCCCACCTGACCGGGCTCCGCCCACTACCATACCCTTTCTAACCAAGCCCTGCCTTCACCCTACACGCCTCTAGGGGCAACTTCCTACCCATCCGGGACCATGCCCTAACTGTTTTATTGGGTCTACGTAGCGTGCAATCTAGTGGTTACAAACACACCAAACTTCTGCTTTATATATAGAGTGAATAAGGCCCTAGCCAGCAAGAAATGAGCAATTACGGTAGGTCTCCTTGACTCGGCGACGATTTCAAATGACCTCATATTCTGAAGGCGGTGAGTGCAGTGAAGGAGGGCTTGTGTCTTCTTATAGAAGGACATTTAGATGAATATGTTGCTGAGGAGACTTTCGTCAACGGCGGCAATCTTTGTGACGAAAAAATCAAAGTGCGACGTGGGCAAAATGTCTCCCCCTCCCCTTTGTAACAGTTGGAGGTGCATGCAATTGCTCTACCCCATCAGCTCATTTGTCACTTTGTGCTGTGAGCGGATGAAGAGACATACGATCGGACCAGGTTCTCTTCAAGTTATTTCCCCTATGTGGACGTGCTCTTCAAAAATGAATTTCTGCTCTATAAATCTCGTAGTCAGTGCTGCGCCAGCCGTGATCTAGTAGCCATAAAGAGACTTCTCCATGGAAGGAACAGGAAAGGTCGGAGGCTGAGAGCGCCCCACAGAGAAGTTGGCCATTAGCGGAAACTCTGCGGGAAGAAAATTGAATTTGACTTATTAGTGAAGTACAGTGCTGCTAATGTGCCATTTGTATGGAGCTGGATGAGAATATTTATGATCAGCTTTTCAAAAGTGCAACTATCTCAGCACATATTGAAGACTTCTGCGTAAATTATGCCCTCCTTCTCTTTAGGTGCACAGTCCGCTTCACACTCAGGAACAGTTCCTTTTTACAATCCCTACGAAGATCACAGCTCTATGACAGTCATGGAGCCCAGGGCTTTGGATAGTTTTAACAACTTCGACGGCTGTCATACTGATACCGGTAAGGAGTCGCTGAAGAATTGTAGATACTATTTATTATATTATATTGTGCATAATCAACCACGGTCAATGGAGAGCTGATTCAGGTGTATCGACTCCGCCAGCACCAGCAACGGTGCGTTTGTTTTCGTATATTTTTTTGTTGCTCGATCTGAGACGGCAGTACATATGGGATAGTGTCCCGCAGTTCCGTGCAATTTCCCTCAAGTTTAGAGGTCAACTTTGTTTTAAAAGAATCGAGCAACGTACAGTCACCAGCTCGTTCCCAGTTTTCGCTGGTTATGCATCCACTGTCTCAGCTACCATACTTGGTAGGACCGTAAAATCGCATGTACTGATTGGTTTCGATCACTATGAGGTTTTTCGCGCATGTTTCCAAAAAATGGCATCGTCAAATCGTATTCTACCATGTAAGACTCTACAATTTCTGAATCTTCAGGGCTACAAAAGTGGCCTCGGGCTGGTATGGCAGAGTCGCCCGCGATCCGCCGCAGATTTCGCTGATTTTCGCGATTTTTCGAATGATTTTTGCGAAGTTTCGCGGATTTTCGCGATTTGCGCGATTCACGCGACGGGTCACGGAAATCACAAGTGCCCCATCCATACTGCAAGGTGTTCTCCAAATCCCGCCGTCACTTCTGCTTGATGGTTATGGTTTAATGGAGACTGCTCATGATTCCACTTGTTTCATATCCAGTGTTTCAATTGTTCAAATGGGGCACTTGCAATTTTTGTGATTGGTTTGGTTTGATTCCTGAAAAAAAAAAAAACAAAATAGGAACGATTCAAGAGCATTTCAATGAACTAATAGACATTGAACATGAAACAAGTAGAACCTCGTCTTTCAATCTTTACTGTCAAGCAAAATTCGCAGCAGGATTAAGCAACACCTCGCAGCGTTTATCAAGCACTTCTGATCCATCGCAAGTTTCGCGCAAATCGCGAAAATCAGCGAAACCTGCGCGGATCGCGGACTCTGACTGTCGCGGCCTAAACACGTTGACAAAACAATCGCGCGTTCTGGGCTTTGCAGCGCGCATGGACGCGAGCGCGGCCGTCACACCTCACACCCGTAAATTTCGAACGATAACCTTGGGAAGCTTCAAAGGTACGAAACCATTTCAGCAATATTCAATGCGTAGAAAGTAATCGAAGATATAGTAGCGAAATTCCGATCAAAAAACGTGAAATGGTAAAGAAAATTGGAATTCAAAGTCCTTTTCTCTGTAGTGGATGCCAAAACTATTTTCGATGTGGATGTGTTGAGTGAAACGTAAATCTTCCTATCCCTTCCACTACCCTTTCTCACAGACGTATTCATCAGAATAGGAAGAAAACGACGGATGAACGGAGCTGCCCATTACGGTGTGCTTAAAAAACTTCTGCTAAACTGGAGCATATTTGATCACACACCGTGACCCATGTCGTTTACAGTTATGTTATGTTGTATCCATGGAATAGAGGCAAGCAAATTGGGAAGAATCCCCGCATACGCTAGAAAAAGGGATGACAAGGGTGAGACGCGCAACCGCGTCTCAATGTCGTCAATGTGTTGACACATTGGGGCCATATGACTTT